CATGAGGCAAACCCTTGCTGTGGGAATAGCAGTGACCGTGGGTAGGGCCATGGCAGCTGGGAGAGGAAACCGGGGTCGCCCCCAGAGCGAGTGGGGACATGGAGGCTGAGCTGCTGTCGGAGCTGCAGAAACACCTTGAGGGGCACCGTGGGTGATGGGGAACACCATTGCAGCCTAGAAATTCGGTTTCCTGAGGTTTAGCCCGACTTTGAAGAGTGTTTAAGAACGGAGGTCTCCTGGCTGAGCGTGGTGGCTCACGCCTGTAATCCCAACACTTTGGGAGGCCAAGGCAGGAGGCTCGCCTGAGGTCAGGAGTGGGAGAGCAGCCTGGCCAACATGGTGAAACCCCGTCTCTACTAAAAATATAAAAACTAGCTGAGCATGGTGACACACGCCCGTAATCCCAGCTAGATTATGGAGGCTGAGGCAAGAGAATCGCTGGAACCCAGGAGGCAGAGGTTGCAGTAAGCTGAGATAGTGACACTGCACTCCAGCCTGGGTGACAGAGTGAGACTGTCTCAAAAAAAGCAAAAGCAGGGCCCTCTGCCTCAGTGTGTCCTGGAGCCAGCCGGGGCCTGTCCTAATTTGGAGCACATCCTTCCTGGTGCCTAGACATGCCAAGGCCCCTCCCACATGGGACACCCACTCCGTTTAGCATCTGACCACATGTTTCAAAACACAGCTGTTTCTGTTTTAGAAACTTGGAAGGCGGAACGTGTTTTAGCGTCTTCTAAGCGGGTCTGCTGAGGACCAGACCACTTAAGGCTGAGTGGACGCAGAGTCAGCTGCAGCCCCTTCTTGCCTCGTGCTGATGATCTGTGCATGGCATTATGTAGATCACCTGCGGCAAACTCATCCACTATCCTGTGTGTGGGCTTCTAAAACACTTGCCCTGGGTGAAACGGAATAAACCTGTGATGCTATTGAAAGTCTTTCTGTTCTTGGGGGGATGCTGTGGGCAGAGGGGATAAACCACAGCCCCCGGCCCTCCCCTGGCGTCTACTGCGTGGGGAGACCCACAGCGCTCCCAGGCCATTTCCTGTCGCTGGTCACTGGCCAGTGTCCTCCTAGGCTGCCCCGGTGAGGGGGCGTGGACATTTCTAGCATGGAGGCAGGGTGCTCACGCCCAGACGCCGCTGTGGCGCTCCCACCAGGTGGGACCCCGAGAACGTAGGGTGCCTCTGCCTGCTGCTTCCCCTCCCAGACAAGACCCTCTCTTTCCAGCAACAAAGGAAGGGGCAGCCCCAGAGGGTGGCTGAGTGACAACGGAGCCGATCTGGACAGGGTCGGCTTAGAGGTCCCCCCAGTCCCTTCAGGAGGAGCCACCGGAGCTCTGGTCACCTCGGGACATTCTCCAGCTCCAGGTCCCTGTGGCTCTCAGGCTGGAGTCCGGGCTCTCCAGACGGGCAGCCGGAACAGGTGAGTCTGTCCTGTGGGCTGCTGGCACTGATGAGGAAACACCAGGCAGCTTATGTTTTTTTGTTTTTGTTTCCAAGATGGAGTTTTGCCCTGTCGCCCAGGCCAGAGTGCAGTGGCGCGATCTGGGCTCACTGCAACCTCCACCTCCCAGGTTCAAGCAATTCTCCTGCCTCAGCCTCCCAAGTAGCTAGGATTACCAGTATCCGCCACTATGCCTGGCTAACTTTTGTGTTTTTAGTAGAGATGGGGTTTCACCATGTTGGCCAGGCTGGTCCCAAACTCCTGGCCTCAAGTGATCCTGCTGCCTCGGCCTCCCAAAGTGCTGGGATTACGGGTGTGAGCCACCGCTCCCCGCCCAAGGCTTTTTGCCTTAGATGCTGTAGATCCCTGGTGGGAGCCAGCAGGGCAAGGCCCAAACAGGATCTGAGACCCATGTAGAACCTGCCAACCTGTAGCTCACACCTGTAATCCTGGCACTTTGGGAGGCCGAGGTGGGTGGATCACTTGAGCCAAGGAGTTCGAGACCAGCCTGGGCAACATAGCAAGACCGTCTGCACAAAAATACAAAGATTAGCCAGGCTTGGTGGCACATACCTGTAGTCCCAGCTACTGGGGAGGCTGAGGTGGGAGGAGCATCTGAGCCCAGGGAGGTCGAAGCTGCAGTGAGCCAAGATTGTGCCACTGCCCTCCAGCCTGGGTGACAAGAGTGAGACCCTGTCTTAAACCCTTTCCCAGCCTGTCTGTGGCCCACGCACCCTTGGGTACTGTGGGATAGGAGACAGGCTGGCTCAACACAAATTGAGGCAGGAATAACCCCAGAGAATGGGCCTCGGATGGAGCTTGATCCTGTCCCTGGCCTCAGCCTCACCACCTGCCACCCTGAACAAGCATGCTGTGCTCGTTTCTGAATGTCCTTCCAAAGCGGCTGGGGAATGTTAGCTGAGCCCCCGCTTGGCCGGCTCTGGTGTGGGGTGTCTCCGGAAGCCGCCCTTGGAGGCGGCATTTCCCCATCAGGTGTGTCCATAGGCCCATGCCTCACTGTCCCCTTGCTTGAAGCTCCAAGAGCATAAGAGCAGGCAGCCTGGTCTGCTGAGGACTGTGCTGACCGATGCAGAAACAGCCACCCAAAACATGGGGTAAGCAGATGTTACCCTGTAGGCGGTGGCTCCTGGGGCCCAGCCCTTCAGAAACAATGGGGCGGGCTGGGCATGGTGGCTCATACCTGTTAATCCCAGTGCTTTGGGAGGCTGAGGTGGGAAGGTCACTTGAGCCCAGGAGTTTGAGGCTGCAGTGAGCCATGATTGCACCACTGCACTCCAGCCTGGGCAACAGAGCAAGATCCTGCCTCCAAAAATAAAAAATAAAACAGGTTGGGTACGGTGGCTCACGCCAGTAATCCTAGCACTTTGGGAGGCTGAGGTGGGCGGATCACGAAGTTAGGAGTTTGAGACCGGCCTGACCAACATGGTGAAACCCCGTCTCTACTAAAAATACAAAAAAATTAGCTGGGCATGGTGGCACATGCCTGTAATCCCAGCTACTTGGGAGGCTGAGGCAGGAGAATCACTTGAACCTGGGAGACGGGAGGTTGCAGTGAGTTGAGATTGCACCACTGCACTCCAGCCTAGGCAACAAGAGTGAAACTCCGTCTCAAGAGGAAAAAAAAAAAAAAAAAAAGGAAAAGGAAGCATACGAGGCTATGGAGCAGTGTACCAGGGGCAGCCCGTGGTAGAAGCGTCCCAGCGCGGCCTTCCCCAGCCCCATCCTCGTTGGGTGAGGTGTCGTGGGTCTTCGTGTCACAGCTTCAAGGACAGACCCAACTCTGGGTGCCCCCAACTTACCAGGTAATGGAGTTTCCTAAAGTGTGTTGTGAGGAATGCTGGAAGGGCCAGCACGGAGGGACCCTGTGGACAGAGGTTTCTTTTTTTTTTTTTTTTTTTTTTTTGAGACAGAGTCTTACTCTGTCACCCAGGCTGGAGTGCAATGGCACGATCTCGACTCACTGAAACCTCTGCCTCCCAGGTTCAAGCGATTCTCCTGCCTCAGCCTCCTGAGTAGCTGGGATTACAGGTGCGTGCCACCATGCCAAGCTAATTTTTGTATTTGTAGTAGAGACGGGGTTTCAACATTTTGGCCAGGCTGGTCTTGAACTCCTGACCTTGTGATCCACCTGCCTCAGCCTCCCAAAGTGCTGGGATTACAGGCATGAGGCACCGTGCCCGGCCTGGACAGAGGTTTCTTTGCTCCACGGTGTCCCCAAGCCTCCGCAGGCCTCTCCCCTCAAAGTCTCTGTGCCTCGTTCTCCGGATGTCCCTCCCCATGGAGCCCTGCATTGCTGGAGCCTCCTGCAGGAGCCAGCCCAGCCAGTCAGGGACAGAGACCCTGCACTGGCCCCGTTGAGAGTGGACCACGGGCTGGCTTATCTGCTCCAGTGCAGTGAGGATCAGCTGGAGCTCCAGCCCGACTCGTATCTGGATTCAAAGTGAGGCATGACTCGGGGTCTGGGACACTGGGAGGAAGCCAGCCTCCGTGCTCTTGCTCCAAGTGAGCTGACCAGGAAGCTGAAGGCAAGCTGGCCTGGGAGCCACTCCCACACACCCAGCGGCTGGGCTCTCCCAGCAGCTAGAAACCCAGCAGCCTCTCCCTTGGGTCTGTGCTGGGTTCTTCAGCCCTCCATGGGGCCCAGCGGCTGAGATGCTTTTTTTTTTTTTTTTCCCCAGATGGAGTCTCACGTCTCACTGTCGCCCAGGCTTGAGCACAGTGGTATGATCTCGGCTCACTGCAACCTCTGCCTTCAGGGTTCAAGTGATTCTCCTGCCTCAGCCTCCTGAGTAGCTGGGATTACAGCCATGTGCTACCACGACTGGCTAATTTTGTATTTTTAGTATAAACAGGTTTCACAGTCTTGGCCAGGCTGGTCTGGAACTCCTGACCTTGTGATCCGCCCACCTCAGCCTCCCAAAGTGCTGGGATTACAGGAGTAAGCCACCACCCCTGGCAGGATGCTCCTTTACAGACGGTGCACAGCTCCGAGCCTTACAGCTTCCAGAGGGTTCTGGGGATGACTGTAAAGAGCAGTGCTGGCCCCGAACCTTTCCTGTTCCCTGGATTTAGTTCCCAGCAGGTGGCAGGGAAATGAACATTTGTCCCATAGTGGTGGGAGGGAAGCATGCAAATCCAGGCCACCCCTCAGCCTGCCCCTCGCCCGGCCACAGGGACAGCAGAGCAGCCACCTGATCCAGGTAAGCCCCCACCACACACACAGCCCCATCACAAGGGAACAGCCTCTTGGTGTCCTAGAAGGTGAGAAGCTTTTCTCTTTTTATTTATTTTAGAGACAGAGTCTTGCTCTGTTGCCAAGTATAGTGGGATGATCATGAGCTCACTGCAGCCTTGACCTCATGGGCTAAAACCATCCTCTAAACTCAGCGTCTAGTGCAGCTGGGACTACAGGCCGCCACACCTAGCTAATGTTTTTATTTTTTGTTGAGACGGGGTCTCACTATGTTGCTCAGGCTGGTCTCAAGTGATCCTCCCACCTCAGCCCCCCAAAGTGCTGGAATTACAGGTGTGAGCCACTGTGCCTGGCCGGGAGCTTTAATTTTTCCTACTTCTTAACAGCATTATGGGGCTGGGGGAGGCGCTCAGATTTCCTTGACCTCCTCACATCCCCAAACCCCTAGGCGGGGCGGTGGGGGGTTGTCAAGCAAGACTCAGGCCAAGCCTGACTCTGAAGCTGTTTGTTACCAGCTCTTTAGTCTAAACTTAAAATCTGCAACCAGCTGTTCTCCAACCCAACACATTCCACAATCGAAGGGACTGGGCGGTGAGATATCGGGAAACCCCAAGAAAAGAGATGCATCATAAAGGAGAAAATCATTTAAAATGTTCTCCCCCCGCCCCCCCCCC